CTGAGTCCTGGCTGCAATCACGGCTCTGGTGAACAGGTACCTGTGTGCCTTTGGACAAATTACATCCTTCTTGACCCTCAGTTTCCTGTGTGCAAAGCTAAGAAATTGAGGTGTGTTTCAGAGAAATGGTGAGTATCAGTCACACCATGTAGACTAGACTTCAGGGGAAGGGCCTGGCACCAATAGGTGTTAATTAAACAGCAGCCATCTTTCCCTCACTTGAATGCTGGCTTCTAAACCTGCATCCTGATGCTAGTCCCAGCTTCCAACTGTCCAATGGCTTTGCCCAAGGTTCCAAGAGCTCTGTCCACCTGTCCCACCTGTCCCTATTCTTTTCAGTACACAACTGCTGGCACCAACCACTCAGGTTCCCAGAGGGGGTTGCAGAGGTCCTGGTCTCCAGTCTCTTCCAGGCACTGGCTACAATATCCTCAGACACCAAATTCTGTGAATACTCAGAGGAAATATCTTCAAACTTTGGCCCTCATTGCCACTGTCTAGGTTAAGGTGCTCATCTCTCAGCTCTCAATAGTTTCTGCCCTGGATCCCTGTCTAAGCACCTGCAGAGCCCAACTGGGTAGGGCTTGCTCTCTGTGGGTGGTTCCCTCTTGATCCCAAACCCCTGCTCTTTCTGGTCCAACCATTCCCTCTCTGCCCCCAGACCCCTCAAAGGATTCTCTTTCTTTACATGCGTCTTCCTAAGATCAGAAAGCTCCTCCTACACCTTACCTTTACCTTTGTCTTCTGGTGAGCCATTTGGGACTTTGATACTACCTGGCAAGCACAAGGTCCTAGGTTCCATCCCCAACAACTCAGAAAAGAATAGGCAAAAATTATTTAAGATTAGAAGTCACAGGATGCTGGTCCTCTTAAGCTGGACCCCAAACTTAGATACTATGCACTGATCTCTGCTGGAGGTTCCAGCCTCCTGAAGTTTTGATCTCTGCAATTCCTGCCTTAAGAAGTATAGTACAGGGGCTGGAGAGATGGCTTGGTGGTTAAGAGCACTGACTGCTCTTACAGAGAACCCGGGTTCAGTTCCCAGCACCCACATGGCAGCTACAAACCGTCCTTAACTCCAGTTCCAGGGGAAACCAAAGCCCTCTTCTGACCTCCACGGTACTGCACGACACAAGTGCACTCACATACATGCAGACAATACACTCATATACATAAAATGAAAATAATAAAATATTTTTAAAAATTAAAACAAAAAAGAAGCATACCACAGAAACTTGCATCTGAGCCTCTGACACTTGGCAGAACGGTGGCACAAGAGAAGGGAACAGGTCCACTGCCCCAACTACCTCAGCCCAGGACTGGAAGCAACCACAGGACAGGAAACTGAGATCCAACAGAACCTCCAGGTTCAGGCCATGCATTGGGGTGAGAGAGGAAACCTCAGCCTGTCACCTATAATGCCCAGCCTAGAGCAGCTCATGGAGCCGTCAGACTGCACCCCACAACTTGTGCTCTGGATGGGTCTGTTGCTGTCATTTTACAGGGTCATGTCCTGGGTTTTCTTGCAGGACAGAATCTGTAGCGGAAGGGGTAGGCTCTATGAGGCTAGCTTGGGCTTTCCAGGGGTTAGGGAAGGCAGTGGGGGCCAAGCAGAGCAGTATTCTGGACTCCCCTGCCACAATAGCTACTGGGCTACTTCTGGTGCTCAGGGAAGAACGGAGACCAACACTACACGGAAGGCCACAGGGCTCTTTGTTAGGGACACTTCTCAGTGGATGTCAACTGCATGGAGGGCAGAGAGCATCACAATCCCTGATCCTCTTCACCAGGGCATCTTTCACCCTTCTTTAGTACCAATTATCTTACGTTCTGATAGGGTGCACCCGACCCTGTGTGTCAAAGCAGTCGAAATGCAACTACTAGTTCAATAAAATCCCCCGTGGCTGGGTGTTCCAACAACCCCACTGTCTGCACAGCACCACATACTGGACTCTGTCTAATGGACAAGGATGAATTTTAATGAGCTCTTCCCACATCATTTGAAAAATATCAAATGAGCTCAAGTCTAGGTATTAAACCTTGGGGAATTCTGCTCTAGTTACGGTTTTTTTGGGGGGTTTTTGACTTTTTTTTTTTTTTTTTTGAGATAGGGTCTCCCTGTATCCCCAGCTGGCCTTGAACTCACAGAGATCCACCTGTCTCTGCCTCCTGCCTGTCTCTGCCACCACACCCAGCTGCTAAGTTATTATCATGTGCAGAAATGCCCTCACCATAATGATCCAATTTCAAACAATAGCAGTTACTGTTTCAAGGATTAGGAACTCTCCAGACGGGCTTTAATTACAAAGGATTCTCCAACAGTTTCATGACAGCAAGCATCAGAGCTGCCTTGTCTGGTGCTCACTGCACTCTCTTCAGCCTTTTTCTGTGTCTGACAGAGACTATGGCACCGGGAGTAGTTGTCTCGTGACACAGGCAGCGTCAATTAATACACATCATTTATCATATATTTTGTATGGTAATGAAAAAAAAAAAAGAGTTAAGGCGGCTCCCCTTGTCCACACTCCATTGTCTCAGTCTGCTAAGGACATGCACTTCATTAGGAACACCCTAAGGTCCCTCTGTTATCTCCCAGAAGGCCCCATCAGTCATAGTCCTTGTTCTCTTAGATCTGCTTAACCAGACTCCTCAGGGTGGATCAGAGCCAGGTGCAGGACAAAGTGCACTGGCTAAAGAGAGGTGTAGGGGTGAGGAAGAGGCACAGAGAGGTGAGGGGGACAGCAGGGCAGCAGGAAGCCGCAGAGAATCAGCAGATGGCAGCCAGACCCTGAGAGCAGGAGCAGAGTCAGGGAACCTGACTCAGTAAGGTGTGGACCTGAGTCAGTGGTTCTGGTTCTGGAGACAGGTCTCAATGCAGGGAAACACCACAATGACCGTCCCGCTGCCAGGACAGGCGCCGCCAGCTCCTGCTCACCTCGTATGTCCAGCCGGAGAGAAGAACATGGGGCTCTGATCTGGTGGGGGTCGGGGGGTGGGGCTAGCTGACACATGGGCATGAGAAACGCAGACTGCCACGTGGGTTCTGGAGCTGGCACAGAGCCTCGCCTGGTGGCCTTTGCAGGCAGCCATACCACTCTCTGTTCACTGAGACCCCACTGCTTCCATCTGTCCTTCCCACTGTACCCAGATACCCACAGCCTCCAGCTCTTCAGTGCTTAGGGAATGCTTCACTCTTGCAAGATGGTCGTTAAATGCAGAGACTCGGATGGGAGCCTCCAAGGCTTACTGCTTGCTGAGTTCCACCCCTGGGTATAGAGGACTTGTGAATTCTGATAGGCAGGATATGGCTGGCTGGTGGTCATCTGCCTGTGACGGGACAGTACCCCCATCTGGCTGGAACCCCATTTCTTTGTTCACAGAGATGTAGGGGCCCATACACAGGCTTACAGGAGGATGATCTCTAGCAGCTGGAAGAAGCCATGAGTCTGGTGGGATGCTGCCTAGAGGACTTACTTGCAGAATTTGGGACATGGTGGTATGTGCTGCTATCAGTAAGCAAGCTGTGCAGCAGCAGGCCATGAAGACCTCCTCAGCTCTGTTCTGACTCCCAAACTTCTGTGCAGGAATGCTTGGACGTTGGGTCTCTTACTAACAGCATGTCCACCAGAAGACAGCCTATAACGCACATGTAATTTTGGACTGAGAATGATTTCTTCCAGTGCAAACCTTTCTACCTTTGGAAATTTGCTCCTTGGGCCTTCGAACTCCCTGTTCTTTCAGGACGCTATGACTTTTCCATATTTATTCCTTACAGTGAGGCCAAATGACTGGCTGAGTCATTTCCTCATGGTCTTGTTAATAGCCTTTGCTTGTGGTATGGGCTTAGATTAGGAAGGAGAATCCGTGGCGTACAGTGTGGCTTTGCCTGCTGAAAGCATGCCCCTCCCCCACTCTCTCAGAAGGTAGCTCCAGGCCTCTCTGGTGGGGCCCATACACCCACCAGATACAGACCCCTGCCTCCTGTCAGCTAGCTCCATCCTGACTCTGTCACCTGAACTTTCCACCAAATATTACTTTGTTGTGGTAACGGAAAGTTGACTGATACAGAAACCACAGATTAGGAAGAAACCAGACATCTAGATATGTTCCAATTCAGACCAAAGCACATTAGTTTATGTTAGGAATATTACTAACATAAGTAGCAGGTACGTGATCAACAGGGACAAAAGGGTGCAGTGTGGTATGCACAGGAGCTGGTGGTGAACACAATGGTTCTAACTTTTTTTTTCCCCCGGAGCTGAGGACTGAACCCAGGGCCGTGTGCTTGCTAGGCACTCTACCACTGAGCTAAATCCCTAACCCCAATGGTTCTAACTTTTAGAGCAATTCTGGATGTCCTTCACAGATTCGGGGCATCTATCTGCCTTCTTAATACAAGCATCTAAAAGGCCTGAAGCCCTGTGCAGGTAGGTACGACTCTGCACAGGGACTTTCTTTACTGATATGACCAAATACCTAACAAGAAGCGACTTGAAGGAAGGGTTTCGGTTAGGGAGGGGTAAGCTCCATCACAGTGGAGAAGGCGTGGGAGCAGGAATCACAATGTGTCCAGCCAGGAAACAGAGGGTGGACAGGAAGTGGGGCCGGTTATAAAATCTCAAGGCCCTCCCCAGTGAACCGTTTCTTCCAGCAAGGCTCCACCTCCAAAACGTTTTAGAACCTTCCAAATCAGCACCAGCAGCTGGGGACCAAGTGTTCAGATACATGAACCTATGGGGAACAGTCCACATTCAAACCACAAGAGGCTCCGAGCTGGGGAATGTAGGGACTAGGCTGCCGACCCTCTACCTACAAAGGCTCTCTGCAGACCCTCCCGGAGAAGACCTAGCCTTCTGTGTGTACATCTCCATCTCCATCTCCAGTGTGGGGCCATACCTCACCAGGGCACTCCTGTAGTTCCTCGTAGCTCATACTGCCACAGCGGGGAGCATGTCACTAGGCCCCCAACCAGAGCAGCACTGTCAGACCAAGACACTTACCACATGGCATGCATATATGTCGGTGGGAGTCGTGGGCTGCTTACTGGGGTGCAGTTATAGGACCTCATGATCCTTTCTGCCAATAAAAAATTCCGAAACAGACTTGCCACCAGCAGGTCCTGTCGGAAGAGCTTTTGGAAGAGATCTGAGGCAGATAAAAGATAACAAGGAATTTTCAGTGACTTGTGCTCAGCATTTGGAGTAAAACATACAAACTTTCTTCCATTAAAAATTATTACATGAGCCAGGCATGGTGGCGCACACCTTTAATCCCATCACTTGGGAGGCAGAGGCAGGCGGATCTCTGTGAGTTCAAGGCCAGCCTGGACTACATAGTGAGTTCCAGGACAGCTGGGGCTACAGGGAGACCCTGTCTCAAATCAACAACCACAACAAAAAATTACTAAGAAGTTGAGACCAACACACACATGGATGGATCTATATCTATATCTATATCCATATCTATCACATATATGAACAAACACAAAATCCCAACCAACCTATAAACAAAGTACACATAGTTTTATAAGAACAGTTTTGGTTTCAATAACTAAGGACAGTGTCAACACTCAGGCAGAAAGGTGAGCCAGGAAAGTCCATGGAGCTCAATACCTGCCATGGTTCTAAGCTCCTGGCCCTTGGTCACCGCACCTACATCACCATGGCTGGCCCACCTTAGGTCCTTGCCATCTCCTTTCTATTTCCCGCCCCATCAGTTCCCTCACTTGAGAGAACACCGACCCTGTTTGACTTCTCTCAGTGTCAAGCCTTCCCTGCATGCCCTCCCCCAGCAGCCAAAGTCTCACCCCGAGGGAGCACATTCCAGGCAATGGTGTCTGTGATGGCTGTGAAGATCCAGTTCAGCTCACCCAGAGGAGTCCTCCTGTCATTCAGCCGGCCAGGAATCCTAGACAAGACGGTGGTTTCATTAGTGCTGCCATGGCAATTGAAATAGGCAATGGAGGCAGGAGATGTGGTAAGAGATTGTGAGGGAGAGGAAAAGCCTCAGATGGGAGGGAAGAGGGGCTGGATGTGTGGCTGGGAGGGCCTCGTGGAGGTCCCGACATCTCCACAGAGAAGTCATGCAGGCCCGCACCTCAGAGGTTCAGCCTCCATCTCTCCTCCTCCTCCAAGGTAACACACTGACAGTTTCTCTGGCTACTCCTAGGCGTAGGGACCAAACGTAGCTGGCGGCATACAGCTGCACAGTTCCACTGTAGCATAAGCTCTTGGCTGGGCTTTAAAGATAGCACATGATGGGGCTGGAGAGATGGCTCAGCGGTTAAGAGCACTGACTGCTCTTGCAGAGGACCCGGGTTGGATTCCCAGCACCCACATGGCGGCTACGAACCGTCCGTTTTAACTTCAGTTCCAGGGGAATCCGACACCCTCTTCTGACCTCCGCAGCACTGCACGACACGGGTGCACTCACATACATGCAGGCAATACACTCATATACGTAAAATAAAAATAAATAAAATATTTTTAAAAAGGTAGCACATGACGTGCCGTTAAGGGGTCTGTAACGCATTCCACAGTCCTCCTCACAGCCTCCTCCTGGCTCTGCTGCCATGGAAGTGCCTTGCCAATCTGCAGGTCCTACCTGGTAACATCTACTTACCTTGCAGTCATTCAATAACTAGTTCTGAGTACCTAGGACACAGCCCTGCAACAGGGCTTAGCACTTCACAGAAGCCCTGCTCCCGTGGAGCACCATCTAGTGGAGGAACAGATGAGAACAAACAGTGCCAGGTGGGGCAGTTTGCAGACAGAAGGCAGGGCGGGGGAAGGAGGCAAGAGGGCTTCTGTGGGAAGAGGCCAGAAAGACACACTGAGCACTCACCCAGGAGCAGAGACCAGCATCCTGCACAGGGGCGTGGTCCCATGGCTGTGCAAAGCCCTAAGGTGTGGGCATGCTTCTTTCTGCTCTGCAGCAAGCTTATTTTATCTACTAGGTAGCAAGTTTAATTATATCTGACTAGAAACTCTTTTTTCCCCTCCCAGAAGGAAAATGTTCACAGTAATTTGGTTTAGAGAATAGAGTGTGATTCCTGCTATTTATAAGATTGGACAGATTAATAATTCCCATTATAGTCACCCATTTGATGGCACTGTCGGTACAAATAACACTCCAAGAGGCCGAGCCTCAGCAACAGTGCGGAGCAGAGCCAGGCTGCCACCTTTTCATTTAGGAACAAAAATACTTCCTTGACTTCAAGAAGGCTTAGCGATAGGACACGAAAAATGGCAGCTGTCTTTCCCAAGTGAGCTGACTCCTATTACCTGTGAAGATGCTTTGCATAGAGCCACAGTGCTGGCCACACAGATGTCACAAATGCCATCTTAACTGGCTCTGTGGGGGCCACTAAGGATCCCACTACTGAGGAGAAAGCAGATGCAAAGCAAAACGCGGCACAGGACGGTAGAGGCTGGAGCTTGCTCCCTCTGTGTGAGGCTTTCTCCTCACTTGCTCTCTCTTCAGCATGAAAGGTAACCACATGGGGGACATGTGTGTATGGTGGCCAGGCTGCCCACCGTGGCTCTCTGTGAAGGACAGGGACGGGTGGGAACCACACGGGAAAGCAGGCGCCCACTCTCCCCCAGAGCGTCTCCTCATGAAGCGATGTAGGGCTGGGTGCACCCACCATGGAAAAGGCACTTCTTCACGGCCACACACAAGCTGTCCAACACGGCTCTTTATCCAAGCTCTCGAGAGGGCCCGAGAGCCAGAGCATTCTAAGGCTGCTGCCTGTAAGACATGTGTCACTGGGAAATAGACAGGAAGAGGCATAAGTGTCCCTGGGCGGACACGGAGGCTGGAGACATTCTCTTGTGCCGTAGCTCTGCTGAAGAGAAACCGTAAACGCCTGACAGGATTATAAATAACAACGCTCAGCAGACATTGCACCTTTCAGAGCTTAAGAGCCCCATGAAATGAGCTGCTACCTTCTTCATCAAAGCAGTTTGGAGGAAGAACACAAGTCACCAGGCTAAAGTGCGTAGCCCAGAGCATGCAAGGATCAAGATACTGTCTTTTCAGTGTGATTGTAGTTCTCCTGGACTGCCCTACTATTACACCAACTACAAGAATGGGGTTCCCCAAACTTCCGTCCTTTTCAATGGATCACCAGGATCTACTGGAAGCTGTTTCCTATATGTGGCTACTTACTACAGAGAAATAGAGACCAGATCAGCCAAGAAGAGATCACAGGACATTGTCCAGGAAACACCAAGCAGAGCTTCTATGTTCTCTCTCCATGAAATCTGGACAGGCCACCTTCCTGGGACTGTTGTGACAACATGTGCAGAGCACCACCAACCAGGACAGTCGCCTGAGCTTCAGGGACAGGGGTTCCAGTGGCCTAAATGACTGAGCTTGGCCTTCAGTGTGACTGACACCATGGGACTCATAGAACACATACTCAGGCTGGTCCTCCTGGTGTGGCGAGCCCCATCTTAGGACTGCCAGTGTGGCCAACCCTTGGCCTCACAAAGACACAGATGATCTTGAAAAAGTGGGGATAAAGGCCAGGCACTCTCTTTGGGAAAGGCTGAATGTCACGCCTCCACTTTCCAATTACCCTGCTCAGCACAAAAGCACCCTCTTCCAGAGAGATCTCAGGCCTTCACCTTTCACAGTCCTAGGCACAGGCTGCCAGGGCAAAGAAAGCCTCCCCTTGGATGGGCAGATCCCAAGGTGAGTGACTGGCAAACATCCACAGTGTGCCCAGTTCTTCCAGCAGAAGGTCTGTCATGCCGGTCAACCTGGCCCTCTTCTAGCAACAAGCATACAGTGGGAAGCTCCATGTCACGCCACTCACAGAAGGCCGTGCCACTATGGCAGCCTGTGGGAACAGTGGCCAGTCACAGTGGGTATGGCACATTCTTGGCTTCTAGTGGCTTCAATCCTAATCCAGAGACTTACCAAAGGAGACACAGAATGCACCAAGATGCACAGTGCAGGTTTACTATAACTGTGACAAGTCAGAAGCGGGCTATGTGACCAGGACAAGAGAAGTGACTAAATTGCAGGACCACCAAAGGGAAATGGCTACAGCCGCTTCATGCTTGTTTACCGACATGTAGTATAATAGGGAGATGTGTGCTTCGTAACAATAAGCAAAGGTGAAAGTCAAATACAATGCAGCCAACACTCCATAAAACACGAGCAGCAGGACAGGAAGACCTAGTGCAGAGTGGGCTGCTCTTCCTCCATATCTGACACAGTCGATAAGGACACCCCCACTCCAGCCCCAGAGAAGGAACACCAACACTCAGTTCCGTTTGCTCACCCTCAGCCCTGGTGGCCCTAGGAAGGTGAGCCCATCGTGGCAGCACCCTGGGGCTGGTGCCTAGTACAGCAGGAACCTGAGGGTGACAGGCCAGTGTTCCTGGAAGAGGTGCAGGGCCTGTCAGAACCGAGGAAAGACTGTCCAAATCTGGAGAGTCACCAATAAGAACCCACATACCTAGAGTCAAGTGAGGCCATCACAGCGCAAGTTGCATTCCTACACTTGGCCTCTGGGGCATGTGCGCAGGAGGATGAATTCCCACGAGTGAGAAGCTACCCACAAGATGCCCCATCTCAGCTCCATTGCAGGACAGCCACCAAGAGCAGGGGCTGCGTTAAGGGTCTGCGTGTGCTTAGTTGTGTTGTAAAACTCTCCATGTGTGACAATTAGCGCTAGAATCTCACACAGCATTCTGAAAACCCCATCTTTCCTGAGCTCAGGGCTCATCATGAAAATACAGGCAAGGCATCTGCCTCCCTGTTCCAGATGGATCTAGGAATCATTCAGAAGGACTGATCAATGGACCAATTGTCCAGTTAGTAAGTACTGATGTGGCTTCCGGCTCATTTACAGAAAGGTCCTTCTTGGGGCAAACAAAGGTGGAATTCTGTCAACTCACTTCAGGTGCTGTCTCTGTACCTGATCGGGAAGCTGGGAGGTGGTCTGGAGCCTTGTGGGTTACAGCAGAACCCGGAAGGAACTGGGCAGCTGTAATGCCCTGCTTGTGACTCCACCCGACTTGGGAAGCTTCTCTGGGCCCCTTGGAAGTCCATTAACAAGCAGAGGGCTCTTTTAAAATTTAACTTCTCAGTGTTAATCAAGGACGAACTTTATGTGGAAAGTGATGATGGGACTGAAAGATGAGAAGCCAAACTCTAGTCCCAGCTGTGCTGTGGCTGGGCAACTTCTGCATCCTGTGTCTCTGCTCTGAGTCACGAAAGCTAACCTTATGTGCGACACAGGACTAAAATAAAATGGGTCACACTTACACAGCAGGTGCAGCAGCAGTCAGATCCCCCCTGGCAGGGGTGCGCCGCCTCCTCAGCTCCCTCCTGCTGCTGTTGCCTCATTCCCATCTTCCCCCAGACACTGCGCTCCCCTGCAGCTTTCTGTCTCCTGCCAGGACTCATCTCCCTCGGCTCCAACACCCAGGCTACCACTGGTGACCACCTGCTGCTACACGGCCTCCGCTCAACGTCTTCATTGCCAGGTGCGAGAGGACCTCAAAGTGAGACCAGCTCTGGGATGGCCACCACCTCTATCCCATGGCCCTCACCACACCTCTGCAGTCACTCAGCGAGGCTCTCTGTCCACCCTGTCCCTGAGCCACCCCTGTTCCACCCAGTTGGCAGGCAGACCCTGTCGCATCCTGTTATCCCAGGACTTCATCCCAGTTCAATGTCTGAGTGTTTCATTGATTTCCTTGTCCTCTGGTCTCTTCTGGTCCTATCGGTTCAGTTCTATGAGCATCCTGCCAACCCGGGTCTCACTAGCACCTACCCTTCCTGTCTGCTTCCCACACAGGGACTGCACAAGTCTGCCTTTCATAAAACTGTGCTGTTTAGCCACGCCCTGTCCCTCACGGGAAGGAAGAACACCTTCACAGATCGGGCCT